TCAGCGCTGTGATTGAGCACAATACGAAGCCAGAACAGTTAATTATAAACCCCTTGCGTAGAAAAGGGGAATTTTCCAGACGGTTGGATGGATGGGGACTGGAAAACTTGGTATTTTATTTTCTATTTACGCAAAGAACCGCACTGGAAGGTTTTCTTCTCGAGTCAAGACGCGATGTTGGGGGATTAAGCAAGGCTGCTAAATGTTTTAGAATTTCCCTGTAACACGTGACGCTTGAAAATAGCGTCACTGTCCGAGGATAAGGTGAGATATGTTCGTTTTTACGCATTAGGATGCTGCTCAGCGCTCATACCCAGCTACCTTCTCAGTTTTCAAGTTGGGTTTCCCATGACCGCCCAGGTTAATCAATTTACTTCCTAAGCAGAAACCAAGCGAAACGCTTTTTTTTGTGTATTCACTGAGCTGAATACGTGTTGCAAAACTGTTCTAGAGAAGTATTGTCTTTGCACCATCTCCGTGGAGACACAAAAAAGCAATTACTGAAGATCGCCTTGCCGTGTTCAGTTTCGCAGGAGAGTCTGGTTTAGCCTCATTCCGGGCAGCAGTCTTCACAAACCTCTTCCGTGAAGGAGAACTACTGTCTCGTCCTCCGTGCTAAGCAGCTCAAACACCGGGGAAGTTTTGTTTCCGGCAGCGGGCAGAGGAAGGTGGCAGAATCTGTCGGTCCTATTTTTATATTTAGTGGTATGCGGCTTATTTGCTGAGACGGTATCGGTAGTTGAATTAACACATTAATAACTGGTAATCATATTGCCCTTACAAAATGTTAAGAAGGTGTGGCGAAATGGCATGAACTCCGGTGATTAGCGGGTATTTGCATGGTTTAGCAATGGAGCGCTATCAGAGTACAGGGGTTTTGCTTAAGCAACCATGCCTTGGTGAAATGTCTTTTTGCCTGAACAACTTGTGGTCCCTGTGACACCCTAGGCTGAGATGATAGCACTACAATGATTTGACTTTGTAAGCCCTCATATAAGGCCAGGACTAAAGGTTTAGTCACCCTTAAATTGCTTCATAATCAAGTTTAAAAGCCTGTGGTCATTGCTTTATGACTTACCTTGGCCTTAGCTTCTTAAAAGGCTTCTTCTGCCATACTGCCAGGTATGTCAGGTTCCAGACCTTGGAGAAACCTGGGGTGTTTGAGGGGACCCCAGGACGAGGGCAGGGAGATGGGCGGCACCCTGACTGTGTGTCCGTGTCCGCAGGTCTGCTGGTGGGCGTGGTGCTGAGGTACGGGATTCACGTCCCCAGAGACATCAACAACATGACTCTGAGCTGCCATGTCAACGCCAGCCCGGCCACCCTGCTGGTCAACGTGAGCGGGAAGTTCTACGAGTACACGCTGAAGGGCGAGATCAACGCCAACGAGGTCAGCAACGTGCAGGACAATGAGATGCTCCGAAAGGTAAGGTGGACTGCGCCCCGCCCTGTGACCCCTGACCCCTGACCCCCGACCCTTGACCCGCGGCTGGGGGAAGACAAGCCTGCTCTAACCGGCCACACTTCAGGCTCTCTCACCTGCGCTCGCTTCTCTGGGCCTCTTGTGGCATCATCTGTCCTACCTGAGGTCACGCAGAGCTTGGTCCCCAAGCCCATAGCAAATTAAAGTTGCAAAAGGAACTTTAAAAAATGTTTCAGGTCCAAATTTAGCTCGGGTACATACCCTGCATGACTTCTCTTGTGTTCCCCTTGATTTTTTTTTTAGACAGTTATTACAAGACACTCCCAGCTGCATCCCCTGTTGTTCTGGTGCTAGTTAGAAAGCACGTCTTCAGAAGTATTCAGAAGTTGCAGGCTATGTGCAGGCCCCTCGGGACACCTGGTGAGACTTTGTATACGTCCCTGCGTTTCCATCATGAAGTCACCCAGACGGGCCTTCCTTCTGGAAACTCTGTAAACACTCTGTGGGGTTGCCTTTGACATCGTGTTAAGGCATGTGGATTAGGATTTTTAAGGAAACTCAATCATTTTCCGTTTTTTTGTTAACGCAGATAAACGTGCGTGGGTAAAAACGCACCCTGTTGTCGCAAGACTCATTCGTGCCCTTCGAAGAAATCTCTGTCCCGTCTGCCTGTCGTACAGTTAGCTGTGTACAGTGTCAAGGCTTCAGTTAGCACTGACAAGGCGCAAAGTCCTTGAAGAATTAAATACGTTCCTGCCAACTTTACGTGTGTGACATACACCCGACAGAGGAACTCCAGACCTCTGCACAGAGCATTTAGCAGCAGCAGGTGTTCCAGGTTTAAAGACAATGGGTGTTTGTGTGGACACTTGCATGGGGCTCATTCAGTTCAGTTTATTGCCATATGGACAAGTGCAATTAAATCCTCTTTTTATGTGTTGGCATTTGCAATCGTAGGAGATTTTTGCACACAAGTGTGCTTAGTACATTTCAGAATGTTGCACTAATTGTTAAAGTCTAGTGTATGAAATAATTACGTTGTATTCAGATCTCTTTTGTTTATTTAATATGACTTTTACTTCTAATCTAAATGACATTTGCTAGTTCTGCCATGGAAATTTACACAGTTCCCCTCAGTGCTTCTTCCTAATTCACTCTGACTGTAACAATACCTCAGGGGCACAGGTTGAGTGAGTTATGAAATTCAAATGTTGTAACTCCATTATGCAGTAGTGAATGGCTTGTAGTGTGAATCAAACACACTATGTACACTTACACATCCTGGAACGAGCTGGGTGTATCAGGTTTCCCTGCAGCTGCACTGCTGGTGAGAACCGCAAGACCAAGGCCCGGATTAAACACCAGTTTGATCCAACTCGTGAATTCCACCCACCGGGGTCTGTGGAGGTTTTCCTCTGGGTGGACTCGAGAGAAGCCCCCGGCGAATGAAAGACCACCATGGGGTGATGCGTTTGGAGTTTGACGCTGGCGAGAGGGTGGCGTTGTGGTTTGAGTCGTGGAAACGCAGGCTTACTGTCCTTCTTGCTGCTGCTCGAGCAGAGCTGGGTTCTGCTGGGGCACAGCACGTGGACTTCGGGGCGCCCGGTTTCCCCCCCCCAAACTGGTTTCCAGCTGGGGAAGGTTGTCCTCCAGCCTTGATGGGCATCGGGATCGTGCAACATGCATTCCTGCCAAGTGGCACTTTGCATGACGTTCTAGTTACCTCGTTGTAAGGAACAACAAACAGGCTTTCTTGTGGAAGATAATTTACATATCCGCTTGCTGTCGGCCCACCGGCTTCCGTTGAGGCTTGCTATTTGCATTGGCATTAGAAATCACTTTTACGAGCTGTATTGGGTTGTGCCATACCTGAAAAACATCCTGTATTCCAGGCTAGGTTATATTCAAATCTAGTTCTTGTTTCCACTGAAAAAGCCTACGTTTTGCCTGCCCATGTAAAAAAGGTGCAAAATAATTGAAAAATCTCACGCCCTTGTAAAAGTTAAAGGCCTGTTTGTCGCATCAGTTTGATTTTTCTGTGTGGGTTTTTTTTCTTCCCTACATTGTATATGATACCCGGGAGAGTGGATTCCTGTGTCCTTGTGACTCTTTTTTTTTAACTTCTCTCCAGGTGACCTTTGACCCTGAGGTGTTCTTCAACATTCTGCTGCCACCTATAATCTTTCACGCAGGGTACAGTCTGAAAAGGGTGAGTAGGTTTTGAGTCCGCGCAGAAAAGGGCGAGTCGTATCTTCTGGGGAAAGAATGGGGAAAGTCGTTTCGGTCACAAAATTTGCTTTTGCAGTTCCAGTAGGACTTACAGGGCTTCTTTCAGAGGGGAAGTGAAGGACAGTCCTGCATCACAGAGCAGAGGAGAGCGGGGGCCTTCAGGGATGGAACCCAGCGACTCCGCTGTCATCAAACCAAAAGGAAACGGGAACGAACGAAAAAGCAATTGCCAAAACACGACTAGGAGCTATGCGAGATGAGAGTGATGAGATTTGACCCCCCCCAGAAGTTTGTGATTGTATAACTGGAGTGTCCTGCAGATCATATGAGGCTGAAGCAGTAGTTTCTGCTCGTTGCTGTCGGAGAAGTAAAATTAATTCAACCATTTTATCTTCTGTTTTCTGTTTCAGAGACACTTCTTCAGAAACCTGGGGTCTATCCTGGCTTATGCCTTTATTGGGACTGTCATATCCTGTTTTGTCATAGGGTGAGCAGAGATTGAGTAGGCTGTTATGGCCTCTGAAATGTTAAGGTGATGCCTGCTTGCTTTCAGAGATTTTTTTACTGCATTGCTCAAGACCTAGTGTGTGTGCGTGTGTGCGTGTGTGCGTGTGTGCGTGTGTGCGTGTGTGCGTGTGTGCGTGTCTTCAATATCTGAACTGTGACATGTTTTCTTCTGCTAGGAGAGTTGGGCAGGTCAGTGAGTTTTAATTCCTTCTCTCTTCGGTCCTTTCCTGTTGCCCGCATTCTTTAACAGGATGATAATGTATGGATGTGTGATGCTCATGAAGAAGGTCGGACAGCTGGGAGGAGACTTCTTCTTCACAGACTGTCTCTTTTTCGGGGCCATCGTCTCTGCCACTGACCCAGGTACCCACTTCGCCCCGGGTGGATCTCCGCTGTCGTGTTGTTTAACGTCTTTCCTGGGTTTGTGATCATCAGGGCAGTGAAACCTTACAGTATACGAAGGGTTGAAACTGAGAAGAAGCCGTTGGAATCATCGCTCTGGTTTGTTTGCGAGTACAAGCAGCCCGGCACGCGGTTAGTTCTCACACCACCCAGTGCAGGCTCGTACCCGAGTCCTCGTGCTCCTGCGCTCCGTCGGGTCTGTGTCAGGAGGCGTGTCGCTGGGCTGGCGTGCCGCGTGCAGTCAGGCTCCGACTGTTGCTAATGCTTTCAGAGAAGCTCTTGGAGAATGCGTTATTGTGTGTGTGTTACGGCTCTGCCCGACAAACTGCAAACAAGAGGTGGGGGCGTGCAGATCTCCGGTACTGGGAAGAGCGTCGGCGTGATCCGTGGCGGCCAATCGCAGGTCTCTGACGTGGCGGGGTCTGGCGCTGGCAGCAGGGCTTGACCAAGTGTTTCTCTCCCCTCTCCTTCCGGCTGCCCCCCCCCCCCTCCACAGTGACCGTGCTGGCCATCTTCCACGAGCTGCAGGTGGACGTGGATCTGTACGCGCTGCTCTTCGGCGAGAGCGTCCTCAACGACGCCGTGGCCATCGTCCTCTCCTCGTGAGTCCGGCGCCCGGGCGGCTGTCTTGTCTGTGCGGCTGGGTACCTGAGGCGGGAGGGGCAGGGGTTGCAAATCGCATCTTCTGTGCCAGCCTTAAGGTTGGGAGCTGCTCCGGGGCACTGCCCTGAAGAGCTGGTAACGGAAGCGGCCTGCCCACCTGATGTTGATAACAGAGTGGGCTAAAGGCTGCTGATGAGTGTGCTTGTGCTATGGGTCTAAAGAATAACTAACCCCTGACCTGACCGTTGTTTGCTTGCAGAATTCTTATTTATTACGGGAAACGCAGGGCCCGCGAGGGGCTGGGGAAGCAGGCCGCAGCCTCGGCGCTGGAGTGGGGTCAAGGCGTGTCGAACGCACGGGGGATGTCTCCCAATGGGTGCTGCTTCAGAGCAGAACAGAGCAGAGGCCACGTAACCCTGGAGTGCCAGGACAACACGGGGAGCAAATTACCAGTGAGCCGTGCTTTGTGCGGCCACAGCTCTGATGGAGTCAGTCGCGACAGCCCCGGGTTCTCGCGAGATCTGGAAATAGGAAGCGCTATAAAAGTTACTCATCCTTCTTGCTAGACCTTGGAAGGAAAAAATGTCCCGGAACAGTCCTAGAAAACGGGGGGGGAATATCGCCTGAATAACTGAGATACACCCCAGGTTTCTGTGTACCGAGATGGGTGGTGAAAGCTGCTCATATTTACACCGATGAGCTAAATCTGCAGTCCTGCAGAATGGTCATGTAAACAGGCGGGGAATGAGGCAGGGATCAGTGGGGTGCACAGCTTGTTGACGACACTGCTATGAAAAGCTGCTGAAACGGAAGACTCCTGGGACTTTATCCATTGAGGGGACTGTGGGAAGCCTGAAGACGAAGGTCTAGATCAGTTGATCCTGATTAGCAGTACTCCGGAACGTGCTTGCCTAAGTTAACATCAGGTACTGATTTGCAACAGATTTTGCTCATGTTAGTGTTTGAGGTTCTAGGTCTCTCTAACCTTTATGGGTTTTTTTGCATAAAACAGGCTGATTGCATGCGAGGCTACATGAAAGTCTAGCTGTCCTTGCAGGAGGACGATGTGTAGCTTTGCAACGATAAACAAGCATCCCTGTGGGTGATGTGAGCAGGAAGAAGGAGCACAGGCAGGGAAGCTGTTTTGCAAGAGGAGTCTGCTGGGTAGCTTTGTGCCCAGTGCAGGATACAGTCTCTGCTAGTTATGCAGTTTGGGGAAGAAGACAAATCCCCATTTTTTTTCCTGGTAATTTGCTCCTTGTGCATTTAGTGTGATTGGAATAGATCCCCTGTGTGCTCTGTTAAATTTTCCACTGATTAGTTTCCTGATTTGCTTGTGCAGGCCTGCAAGCATTTACTCCACACTTTTCCAAGGCCTGTCTGTTTCTGTCATGACATGTACTCCTTTCTCCCAACCAGCGGTGTCTGAGTGCAGGCTGGTGTCTCTTACTGGAATTGCACTCTTTCTGACAGTGGCTGCACACTCAACAGGAATTATAACTCAGTTTTCCTGGGCTTGGTTTGCTGCCCTTTTTGTCAACATCAGAAAATACAAGAAAGATATTTGCTAATTGGATCTTTTCTTATGGGTAGATTCATACAATAGATTCATGTGTTTGAGGTATGAAGGGATTTTGCAAGATTACTAATCTGACACTACATAGTGTCTTTCCGAATAGGAATAAAAACCGAAATTAGGCTGTTTTTTTCTGTAATGGAGTTATTTGTTTATTTACAGTCAGAGACAAAGCTTTGAGGTACTGTGCTTTGTACCTACTGTCTAGGCAATTTAGGTTTTAACTTTATTTTTTACAGTGCAGGCTTTTTATTATTCCACTGTCTCTTCCCAGAAGGCCTGGAGGCTTGCAGGACTGAGATCAATGGTTCTTAAATGCGTTGTCACTAAAGAGCTTGTCATCCCATGTGTTGTGAGTCCCAGATAGCGGCTTTACCCCTAGATAAGCAGGCACTAGTTGCCCAGTCCCTGCATAGCTGCACCTCTGTAGCTTATAGCCATATCACTTAGTGAAAATGATAAGCTCTGATGGGATGAATGGCTTGTTCTTGTCTTCAGCTTTCTTCTGTTGTAGTCCGTATCTTTATGTTGGACAGGTGAGTGGTAAGATATTGGCTCCTGTGTGAACTATGCACAGTGAAAACCGACGTCCCAGAATTTTCAGGCCAGTCCGTTTCAAATTGGATCTCATTATGTGATCCAGCTAATGTAGCAAAGATAAGTGGGCACATAATTCATTTTAGAATCCTACATATCTTTATACCATCCAATTTGGAATTGCCAGATTCACAGGAGATTCGCGGCATGGCTCTCATGCATGTAGGGGCATGAATGGACCCTGCAGCCGCACACGGGAGAGTGAGGATGTGTAGGCGCCACTGACACGCCCACATTCAAGCCCGTTGTCTTCTAACGCATCACAGGCAGCCCAACCTTGTACATGGGGGCTCAGCGCCGATTGGCGAGGAGGTGTGTTCCTGTGGGAGACCGCAAGCTGTGTTGCTGAGTCACAGTGAGAGGACCCAGGCTCGAACCCATGATCATACAGCTCAGCCTGCACTCAGGCGACCGCCTTTACTGGTTGAGCCTCCCAGGAGGCCCTCAAACACATTGGGGGGGGTACAGTTTGAACCAGCGTGTATGAAAACACGTTTTTTCTCTTTAAATTCACTGGGGAACAGATGCATTTCTAAGAGAGACGTTTTATCTTTCTGTATTTTGCTCTCTTTCAAATGCCGTTTGAAGGAATGCACCATTATCTTAATTAAATATCGCAGTGCCTGGTACAGAGTGTGCTAGGGTACTGCTGTCTTGCATTCTCCCTTTTCGCATTTCCTTCTAGTTCATATTTTCTCTGCGGTTTCTGCCTGGAGTGACGTGTTCCTTGACGTTGTTAACTTCAGACCGCCTCTGTTTTAATCGTCTGAATGGTAATGGATCGAAGTGCATGTTAAGATATCTGGCTGTAATCACCTGCAAAAAAAGATGAAAAGTATAAAACGTATCACCTTTGTGCAACCATTCCTGCAATCATTGATGTCTTCACATCTTTAAATCTTGCTTGAAACCAATGGCACACAGACTGGGCGCAGAGTGTGCGTGCTACAGTACTCGAGCGTTTTTTTCAGATGATTATACCAGAGTCTTTGGTGACACAGCGACAAGTACAGTATCTTGCTCTTGCTTGCAATCCTCGTGGTTGATGGAGAAGACTTACAGCCGTCTCCCTGGGGTTTCAGGTCCATCGTGGCTTACCAGCCTGCTGGAGATAACAGTCACACCTTCGAGGTCACAGCCATGTTGAAGTCCTTCGGGGTTTTCCTGGGAGTCTTCAGCGGGTCTTTTGCCTTGGGAGCAGCAACAGGAGTGGTGACTGCCTTGATATCCTTCACTGATTTCTGATGCATGTTGTGTGTCCTTTTTTTTTAACTGTTCTTCATGTGCATGGTGCAACAGACATGTGATTTGTACTACTGTCAGGAGAACGTTAGGGAAATTCAACTAAATCAGTTGCTTTTTATTCTTCGGAGACGACAGTAAGACCACACTGAAGCAGATACACACACACACACGGGTCTTCAGCATACTTCAGAAATACACATCTGCAAGCAGTCACAAATGTTTAGCTGCTTTCAGAATTATGTATTTACATTAAAGAGCAGGCCTGGAGAGAATGCACAGCCATTATTACTTCTGGTCTCGAAATCATGCTTTGTCATGATGTGTAGTTCTGAGGAAGATCTATTAAGGCTGAAGCATTTACAATGGAAATGCATTGCAAAATACATTTGCATATTGGCAACTAAAAATTGACGTTTTCACCTATTTTTTTTCTTCTCCATTTTTGTCATTTATTAAGCACATAGGCTCAGCGGCAGCCTTGCTGGTCAGAGGAGAGAATTGTAGTTTCCTGCTCCTTCCTGTTATACAGCATTGTGCTGCTCCTTGTGTTCCCTGCAATGGAGCCAGTCCTGCAGATCACACTTCATCTATAATGATCCTATAGGTGTGCCAAAGCTTTGTTTTACTATATAATTGATAATCACTTGCATTTGTATAGCACTTTGCACCCTAAAGGACCTCAAAATGTTTTACAAATACCGTAGGAGCGGAAGTACCTCATCCACCACAGCTCCCACCAGGGTGACACAGAGCAGCCATTATGTAAATAATATAAATAATTCCTTACACTTCTAAAGCGCTTTCCTGGACACTCCACTCAAAGTGCAGGCAGTGGGGCCTCCCCTCCACCACCTGGATGATGCAACGCCAGCCAAGTTGCACCAGTCCACTCGTCACACACGCAGGCTATCAGTGGGGAGGAGAACCGAATAACGGAACCATCCTGTAGATTGGATCCACATGGATCTGTTGAATCCATGGATCCATAGATTATGAACCAGGAGCTCTACTACAGAGCAGGGGTCAAGCAGAGAAGTGAGAAAAGCTTGGCAAATTTAAGTAGAGGAACTTAAGGAAGTCAGATTAGACCCAGATCTCATGAACCATGCCATGGGATTAATCGCCCACTAGCTAGGGCCCTGGTGTCACGTCTCACTCGACAAATGGCATCTCCTGAAGTGCAGTGTCCCAGATCGCCAGACTAGGGAATTGCACTGGAAATTCTGCTCCCCCACCGTCGATTCCAGCAGCAGTCTGGCGTGTCGTTGAGAGTCATTGCGTTCCAGGAGTGACCAGGCGCAGCCTTGCTCACATGCCGAGAGAGATTGGGCAAAACGGTGATAATGTTGCTGTGCACAGTCTTACAATAGCTTGGTAGTTCATTTGTTGTTGGACATTGGGCTTCGGTGTGTCTCTAGGGCAGAGGAAGCAGCTAAACACACTTCCGTGTCCTTTCACAAGCTGGTCTTCGGTATCGGGACCCCTGTAGGCCTGTCCAGCTCCTGAGGGTTGGAGGGCTGGGGTCTGACTGATCTGCAGCAGTGACCGCTGTTCCAGCGATGGACTGCCATCGCCCTCTTCTACAGCACTCCCTTTTTTTTTTTCCCTTGACTCTCTCCCCTTGCCCCCACGTTACCAAGTTCACCAAGCTGCGCGACTTCCAGCTGCTGGAGACGGCACTCTTCTTCCTCATGTCCTGGAGCACCTTCCTGCTGGCCGAGGCGTGTGGCTTCACAGGTAACCAGCAGGGGGCGCAGGGGTCCTGCCTGCCCGCAGCAGCCTGCTGTCCTGCCCTGCCCCGCCCCGCCCTGTTCTTGCAACAGAATTCCTAATCCCCCAAACAAGCTTAAACTGAGGATGTGAGATAGTGAGACTGTGTTGGAAGCAAAACAAGTTTCCGAGGGAAGGTTATTTTATCAGAAAAGGGCACGTGGGCATCCCCTTTTCTAGAAAGACTTCTGCAAAATTAAAAAATATATATTTTAAAGCTGGGGTGACGTTCATGCGGGCATATAGGCCCCTTCTGCCCCGTACAGAGATGATTTGGACTGGAATTCTGCCAGGGAATGTGCTGGCAATGATTGCCTTTAGCCGCAAGGGTGGGGTAAGTGAGTTGCATCCAAGATAGAGGTGGGGGCAGGTCACCCAGGCAGGATGTTCCCCAGTTGTACCAGGCTGGTGTGCACTTAATGCACCACTCTCATTCCGCTCTTCTCCTGCAGGAGTGGTGGCTGTGCTGTTCTGTGGAATCACCCAGGCGCATTACACCTACAACAACCTGTCCCCCGAGTCGCAGGACAGGACCAAGCAGGTATGGTTCTGTGCACCTCAGTGCGACGGGCGCAGGTGGGGTTTGGACAAACTCCCAAGCGAGGAAGCATGGGGGTATTTCTGTTAGGTTTGTAGACGGGTGCATTGGACTGCGCAGGGTTGTCAAAATGATTTTAATTGTTCAGTCCGGTTTTCTTTCACCCCCCAGTCTGTTCCCTGTTTGTCTGACGTCCAGCCCTTGCCTCCTGATCCCAGTCCCCGTGTTCCCAGATCTCTCCGGATTGGCATCGGATTCACAAGTGCACTTGTGACTCGGTGTAAAAGCAGCTGTCAAGCCTATTCCTGCGTTTCTGTTTCTCCCCTGGGTTGGGGACTGACTTGCTCGTGTTGTGTTTGGATTCCTAGTTGTTTGAGCTCCTGAATTTCCTCGCTGAGAATTTCATCTTCTCCTACATGGGCCTGACACTCTTCACGTTCCAGAACCACGTCTTCAACCCCACCTTCATCGTGGGAGCCTTTGTATCCTGAGCCACATACCCACAGGCAGGCATGTTTGCCATGACCTACTTCTGTCGTGCACATAATGTGAGGAAACCCTACAAATACTGTTTCTTCTGTGGTGAAAGAAGAAAAATAGCACATGTAATATCCTTTCTCCCAGATTTATGGTGTTTTAGAGCTGTATTCTAATAATTGCTCTGGTGACATGACTGATTATATAAGTCATTGATAATTTGGCACATGTCTATGCGGTCAGTGTAATATGGCTGCTGCCAGCTTCCACAGGGACTTTTCCTTAGCAGCGACCCCACCTCAGCTGGCTGTTTTCCTGGGGAGAGCTGCCAACATCTACCCCCTCTCCTTCCTGCTGAACCTGGGCAGGAGGAACAAGATTGGCTCCAACTTCCAGCACATGATGATGTTTGCAGGTACGGCCGCCCACCCCCCCGTCCCCCTCCCCCCGCAGTGTGTCTCTGAGTGTGGCAGAAAACGGTTAGGTGTGAGATTTTGTATGCGCTCTTGCGGTCAGTGTCTCCTCCAGCTCTGGATTTTTGTAATGTACTGAACTCATCAGCAGCCATTTCAGTGGCATTGTGGGACTTTCTTCACGGTCCCTCTCCTCCTCTTTCACCGGGGGTGTGATCGAGTGGACAGGGTGGGGGGTGTATTTTTGGGCTACAGGTATTTCCACATATTTCTGAGGTACAATCGTACCACCGAACTGATGCCCACCCTGATGGTAAGAAGGTGCTGGAGAGTCTGGGCCGAGCAGTGCGACGTTTGTCAGAGTGATGTGTGTTGTGGCACTCCAGGCCTGCGGGGAGCCATGACCTTTGCCCTCTCGATCCGGGACACCGCCACGTACGCCAGTCGGATGATGTTCTCCACCACGCTGCTCATCGTCTTCTTCACCGTCTGGGTCTGCGGGGGCGGCACCACGCAGATGCTGTCCTGGCTGCGAATCCGGTGAGCAGGGAGCGCACCCCACTGCTGGTGTGGGGAAACAGAGTGGTGGCCCATCCCGGTTCTGGAGGCCCCGTGTGTCTGCGGATTTTCCGAAGTCTGATCAGCTGGGAGGAGCTGTTTAATTGGTTTAGGTCATTAAGACCCGAGCAGTAAAATACACTGACCCCCCAGAACCAGGACTGGACATCCCCGATTTTGAAAGAATATTGACATATTAATCGGGTAATCTCTGCCAGTGCAACAGCAATAATGTAAGTTTGTAGTTTGTTACTAGTGTGTAGAAGTGTTTTTTTACACATTTTATGACAAAACATTCTCAGTACGAGCATGTTTTTTCATGGTCATGAGCTATGCACTTAACTCGTGCAGTAGCCTGTCTAGCTACTGTCTGATTTTAGCTTCTGTGCTTGAATGGATCTCAAATTCCTGTTTGTTGTACCTCAACAGAGTTGGAGTGGATTCAGACCAAGACAACTTGGTAAGTACAGAACATTTGGCTTGGAGTTTCGAGGCAGCAACTGTAAAAAGCTGATGGGTTGATAATGCATAAGACTTTTATCTTGAAATCATCCCTGTAGTAAACAAATCATTCTGTGTGAATCTTGTGAAAAGGCCATTTTAAGTTTCCCGATACACCTGTGCTTTCTAAATTTGATCATTTGACTGGGTCTGCATTACTGATGCCTGTGGGTTGTGCATGTGTTTCCAAAGCAGGCTGTTACAGATGGAGGAGAACGGAGAAGTACCAAACAGGAGAGTGCCTGGCTCTTCAGGCACTGGTACAATTTTGACCACAAGTATCCTTTGAAAAAGCATGTTTTGCTTTGGCTTGCCTAAGGTTTCTCAGTAGGGGGAGCACCTGCACATCAAGAGTAGTGCTTTAGCTCCAGTCTTAATCTGAACATTCTGGGAAAAGTAAGAACTTTGCAATGCTGCCCTCTGCTGGTGCTACTTGTCTATATCACGGACATGCTGTAGTACATACAAAACTGATTGCAGTTCGAGATGTATTCTCCCCAAGGGAAAATTTGTTTTGCAGAAGTGTTGGACACGGTTATACAACAGAAACATCCATCACTAACAAAGAGTTCAGGACACGTAGTACTTCAGGACATAAAAGAACTATTTGACATTATTTAAAGAGTGCGATTGCGAAGGAGAGAAACGATTATTTCTATGACGCTGGTTTCTACAACCTCTGCAGTCTGCCTGTTTATTAAAGGTTGGAGAGGGGCTGCATTTTCCCTGCAAACAATGAGGAGTTTCATTGCTCCATTCAAGAATATGACTTAGAATGGGCCTGGGATGACATTCTGGGTTCTCTGCTAAGATGACCAGGGCTGTGTCATCAGCAAACCTAACAAGAGGTCTATCTGTGTGATTGCTCTGACAATCACCAGGGGACAAGTCGCAGCCCTGCGATGATCCATTGCACCAGCCTTTACAAAATAGGTGTTTTGAGCTCTTTCTTTTCCAGAATCCATCCCACGGTGATTTGTAGATTAGTTGAAGAAATGAAATCGGTACCTTTCTAATGCTATATATGTAGACTTGCTGCTGTGTACTGTATGTAATTGCTTAGTTTCTGAAAGCAATTAAGTTTTATATGTCCAACTGCAGAAAAACCTTGCACAGGCATGGAAATAAACTAAATATTCCTTTCCTGAACCAGGTGTGCTGTGAAACACCTGGTTTATTGTTAAGTTAGTTTCGTACGGTTCAGGAAGTGTTGGCTGTGTTAAGCCTAGAGGCGACCGGTCTTGACGCAGGTGGTGCTGCTGGGCTCCTTGACTCCGCTGCTCTCCAGCTACCTGAAGCCCATCCTGACGCACAGCGGCCCCCCGCTCACCGCCACGCTGCCCAGCTGCTGCGGACCCCTGGCCAGGTGTCTCACTAGCCCCCAGGCCTATGAGGTGAGAGGTGCCCCGAGTTCCTGTTGCGCCTCGGACGGGGAGGACCAACGAGGGGGATCCGACACAAGTACACAAACTCCCCCAGGGCCCCCGACGTGGCGAACCCAGAAAAAACCCCGAGGGCGTGACCTGGAAGTGCATTTACAACTGAAGACGGAGGGGGGGGGCACTTCTTTACACTGAGGGTTGTGGGAGGGTGGAGCAAGCTGTCCCCCGCTATGCTGTTGAAGCTGCTGCCCTGGCGTCTTTCAAGAAACCGTGGGATGAGATCCTCGGATTAATTAGTGACTAACTGTCTAACGAGGTTGAAGGTCGGAATGGGTCCTCTCGTTTGTCACCGGTCCGGTGCTCCTGCGTGTGGAGTAGGGCTTCGCCAGGCCCACGGTGGTGGTGCAGGCCTCTCGGAGGGGCGCTAGAGTCAGGCTCCCAGAGTCGGGAGGAGGTTGGAAACGAGGAGCAGCTGCGGGTATCCTTCAGCGGGCCGTGGACTGGAGCGGAATAATAATCCGATTCCATCTGGGGGGAGAGGGAAGGAATTCTTCGCACATGCCCATGTTTAGAGGTTTTACCGTTTTGGGCCATGTTAAAAGGAAATCTGGTTTTGATTAAAATAGCAGTTTCAGTACGTTGTACTAAGGACCTGGCGACTTCTACACAGGGAAACACAGCATATAGGCTTTCCCTGGTCATGCTCCTGGGGTATCTAGCGAGCATCAATGAATAATCCTGTGTTCGTGTGTTTGCTGATGTTCTCCTGGCCTGTGGGTTTGAAACTTATCACTCCACCCACGGTCCTGACGTCTTGGCTCTGAAGTGCGAAGCCCGACTCCGAGGTGTGGATACCGGTTCGGAGGGGACAAGCGGTCGGACAGAGGGGGAAATGTGTGATATGCAAGAGCATCCTTGAACAAAGTTCTTGGGCTCGAGTCCTAAGATGGTCGCTTGAAACTGAAACTTTAATTGTTTTCATTGTTCTATGAGTGTTACCTTTCAGCTGAAATAAATGTTTCATATAACACTGCTCCTTCTCCCAAACCCCCTCAGGTCACAGGTCACAGGTCACAGGTGAAAGGGCTCATCTTGGCGGTGTGGCGCTTTTAGCTGCAGGGCACTGTGAAAGATCCGTTGCTTTTGCCCCGTGACACCGCTGTCTTCCCCGACCTGGTGCGCTCAGTGTTGTTTTTTTTGTCTCTCCCTCCGCTGAAGAACCGGGAGCAGCTGAAGGACGACGATTCGGACCTGATCCTGAACGACAGCGACATCAGCCTGACGTACGGCGACGCCACCGTCACCACCGACTCCTCGGGCTCGGCCGCCGCGCACCGCCCCGGCCCCGCGGGCTCCGACGAGGCGCTGGACAGCGAGCTGGCCTTCGGGGACCACGAGCTGGTGATCCGCGGCACGCGGCTGGTCCTGCCCATGGATGACTCGGAGCCCTCGCTAGCCGCGCCCAGCCGCCACCGGGAGTGAACAGACCGCCCCCCCCCCCATCCCCCCATCTCTGCGTTTCTCACGGATGGTCCCTCTTTTTTATTCTTTAATCCCTAGACGAATTCTCCGTCCTCCGTCCCTTCTGCCTGTTTTTAAACCCCTCTCGTACCTTTGCGATATTTATATTTTTTCTATTCTTAAAAAGTCGTCAGTGTTCGTCTGCACAGCTGTCGCCTGGTCCGCCGCGCGGCAGCCTCCTTCTGCAGAAAACGTCCGAGTAGCTCGAGAAGTGTTTGCTGTCTTGAAAAACATGCATGTGTGTCTCCCGCTTTTTCAAAACGGGGAAAGTCAACACAGCAGCCGAAGCTAAAGGCTGTTTAATATTATTGTTCGTATTTGCATATATAACAAGGTGTGCTATAACAGCTGCAGTTTGTTCTGGATGTGGAACGCATGGTCATTAGGGTCTTCTGGTGTGCTTTGATGAAGTTGGGTTGTAAGGTGTCTGTTCAGGCTGTAGGATGTTTTATTTGCTTATATCCGTGCATACTTGGCAGTTTTGTGTCAAATACTCAGTACGTCGCCTACACTGCCTTCCCTGTGAGTGGCATCGACGGCATCTGGCTGAGAGCCGTGTTGTTTCAGTGGAGCTGCGTTGCTGTGTGATTGCATTCAAGTGCCTGTTGAATATGAGAGTACATCGATCCTGCCAAATGCAGGAGTTCTTACCATGCGGTACTCATGTGCACTCAGTGCACTAAGCCTGTAGTTGTGTCGTGACATTTTTGCCTCTGACTTACATGTTACACGTCTGAGACTCGTCAGTCCTAGCATCCTGACCTCTGACTGTGACATTAGTTTTTTTTTCCCCCCACACCTTGTTATGTGACATTTGTGGTGTTTCCAGTTGTCAAAAGGTACCGTCATCCTGTGGACTAATCAAGAAACAGACCAGTCTGGTTTCTTCTGATATGTTTTGGGTTTGTTTTTGTCGGAACATGAAAAGCTTCTGAAATCCCCCACGCTTTGACATCCCTCCCCCCAAAAAAATACCAGGAATGCGTTTGCAATTCTGTTTCGAAAGCTCTTTCAAAAGTCCCCGTAGCTCGTGTCTTGGGCACTGGCTTTGCGTTGCACGAAATATTGGCAGACAAAAGCAGATTTTTAAAAATGTTGAAATTGGCGCTTGGGATTTCTAACCAGACCATCTCGAAAAGAAAAAAGCAGAACCAAGTTGGCAAGGAATGATCTGTCCTGGGTCCTGTGGTGGCGCAGCGCCTGCTGTCATTCAGAAATGTTGTCATTGACTTGACACTTGTTTTCTGCAGGCATCTAACATGCAAAGCTCCAGTGGTCCTCAAGATAGTTTGTTGATGGCGTCGTACAGGGCAGAGAGGCAGAGTCCTCGTTCTTGCGCGCGATCTCCAGGACTGCAGAAGACCCGTGTTGTGCAGTAGCTACCTGCAGCTGTTGTCTCGGCCTGCCTGACAGTGAGATTTGTCTTTGTTGGCCATGTTGTGCTTCGGCGGATCTAAAAAGCCGAGTGCGAGTTTGTTGGCGTCCGCTCTGCGAGACCCGGAGAGAGATTGTGAGATTGTGAGAATATCCCAGTGGAAGACTGAGGTTTTAAGCAGGACATAGGAGGGAAGAGGCACAGGGGTGTTTTTAGGGATCCGTGTGTACAGAAGTTACTTCAGCCAGATGGAAAGGTTGTTGTTTTTTTTAGGGTGGGGGCAGTGGCGGTGTTGAATGGGGGGAGGCATCAGAGGCTCAGAGTAAAAAACAGTGAATAATATCACTATTGTATGATCTGTTGTGTTGTTCTGTGCTTTGCTTATGTCATCAAAGATTTTAACAACTGTAGGGCCAGTAAGCATTCACTGGGTCAGGAAGTGTTGGTGTATTTCTTTTTCTCTTCACAATTTCAAATTCCCCCTTGTTTTCATCACCCGCCCCCACAAGCTCGTAGTTAATATAAATGCCCTTAGTACGTGTCACCTGGGGGCTGTGCTGCTACTCATTGACCAATTTGAAGTTTATGACGGGTCACCAAAAGCAAACCCGCTTCATGGGAATTGTTTTCCAGGCCCCGGCCCTGACTGACGTTCCTAAAATCCCCTGTTCCCGCTGATTTGCATATCGCAGCAGGACGCTTAGGAGTGAAGGAAAAACAAACCGTCCCCCGGGTGGCCCTGCGCCGACCTGTTCAAGGGGGGGGATTTGCGATGCATTTAGCCGACGAAGCCCAGAGACACGAGTCAGTAATTGCAGTAGACGCGGCGGGCTTGGGACTGGAGCTGCAGGCTGAAAGAGGAAGCGCTGATAAGCGGCTGTTGTCGCAGCCCTTGTTGTGAGTGGTGCAGGGAGGACAAGGCCTGGTCCCTGCTGAGCAGCGAGCACAGCCTGACTCAAGAGCGTGTGCACACTGATAGCCCTACATGTCAGTGGCCTCAGCCACTGGCATCCTTTTATCGCCTGCTGTGCAGGAAAGGCATGAAGGCTTATGCTTTTTATTTTATTCCTTTTTTTTTTTAAACTCAAGCATGCATCTTAACCACAATGGCTAAGGAAGCCCTTATAACTTGTTTGGACTGGGGAGGGAGAAGGGGGGGCTCAAATATTAAAACACTTGGCACTTTTGTTGTTGTTGTTGTTTTGTCATTTTTTTTTTTTGTTGCTTTGTGCAAATTGGTATGCAACAAGTTGTGAAGCTGCTGCAGAAGATTGAGCTCGGAAGGGGTTGCGTTGTTTTGTTTGGAGAAGTCTCTTGCAGGCTGCCAGTGGTTTGATCTTTTCTTCAAACGTCTTTGTGAATTATTTCGCCCGGCAGGTCCTGGGCAGGGTGTGACTTGGGCTCCTGCCTCCTCCCACAGGGGTGTTTGTCCCGTAAATGAAACTACAAGTCAGATTAGCACAGTTCCCCTGTTGTGGAGGGTCCATTTTGGGGAGATCGGTTGTCACCTGGAGCTGAACAAAAAATAGTGAGAAATATCTATTTTTTAAGGTCATTATATATCGTATAGTATTAGGTGTAATGGTGTTAACAAGCTCCCTTGTTTTTATGAACTGGTTTGAACATAAAAGAGACTGACGTACTGTATTTCCTCAGAGGGATATCCAAGCATCTTCTTCAGAGAGAAGCTTGATTTCTTATTGGAAAGGGCAGCTGACTGACAGCCCCCTTAGCTCTGCTGAGGTGTAACCGCCTGAGCCTTCCTACCTTTCCCCAGGAGAGCTCAGGGGCGGCCAAGGTCTCCTCCTGCTCAGATCACGCCCTGGAGTCGCCGGGAGCCCCGAGTCTGGGCCACAGAGTCAGTCTGGTCCCCAACACTGGAACAGGTGCTAAGGGGAGAGGGATTCCCGACAGAAGTTTCACAGGCAATAAAGGTAGTGTTTGTACCACATTTGTCATTTTATTTTATTTTCCTTTCCGATAGGTCATGAGCACTTGGCTTGCACGCTACTGTTAATGTTCAAGATGTTGGGTTCTGAAAGGTGGATCTGGCGGCACCGGGCTTTGTGGGTGTTTGGATCCCAAGCCTGTGCTTTTGTTTTAAACGAGTTGCAGTTACTGACTTGTTTCACCCACTTTATTGTAAATACCCTGTCACTGTTGATGGCACGTGGATTGGTACTGTAAATAAAAAGAAACCATAATGCGTTTGTTTAAAAATGACTGCTTCCTTTTTCTCGGAACCTGTGTACATTTTTTTTTTCTTGCTCTGCTCCATCAGCACACAAGCCTCTCATGCTGAAGATTGGTGCTTCTGGTATCTTTTTTCCACACTCTTATTTTCCAGGAGCATTAAAGTGGGGTTAAATAGGCAAGCAATCTAAAGGTTAAAATGCAGATAACCATGACCTCCGCATAAGACAAATGACACTTTGGTGTCACGCGCAGTATCTCGGGAAATTAAAAAAGATCATGTGCTTTGGAATGTGCAGCGTGTTCGCTTTTAAGGCCAGCACAAGCCCCTTCTGCATGACTGCGTGGTACAGTTCCTGAGAAGTGAGATGCATGATCATGACTGACAGTCCAGTTAGAGATTTAAAAAAAAATAATAAAAAGATGCAAAATCCTGGAATGCAGGACGTGTGTGTAAATCCTGAAATATTACCCTGCCTGACATTCATCTCTGTCTCGAGAGGCAGGAGTGGGAGATGAAAAGCAGGTTTCTTCGCAGCTGAAGCCAGTGTGACTCTGCACATGCGTTGCCAGTTACCAAAGCCCTTCCCCGGTTTGGAGAGAGATCAGGTGTCAGGCTGCCGCTCCTAATATGGCAAGAATTCTCCCGATCTGTTCATGTTTGTTCAATGAAACAGCAGGGGGGGGAATATTAACATTTAAGGAAAGCTCCAGTTCCTTTTTTTATTGCTAGCTAGAAACCCTTCTGTCATGGTCTTTGCAGAATTCCTGACAGGAGATGTGAGATTCCAAGAGCTCTGGTTTATATTCCTTTAAAAGCCCAGGCCAGCATATCATCACCTTCTGAAATGGCAGGAATGCCTTCCTCTCCGGTCATGTATGTCGCACTGCATAACGTCCCTCTTGGGTTTAACTGATTGGACACCCAAGCTGAATACAGGGGAGGCTTTCTGTCTGGATGCTGGGCTTTTTGGCCTACTGAAGGCGTGTGACGGGGGGGAAAAGGTCACAAGTCAGAAATGTACGACGTTAAGTGTTGAAGACAGAAAGATTGCCTCTGTCTCCGCTGTGGGTTTGTAACAATATGATGGGTCTCCTAATAGGGTAACACGTGGCCAAATTGGGTATCTCCCAGGAATTTTCTTTTAGGAGGCCTGATTGTTTTGAAGAGCTGAGATGCACTTGACCTCTGACTCCTTTTGATATGAACTACTTAACCTTTGAACTCTTGTTTGCACTGAAAGCAATGGCATGTGTTATTAGCGGAGTTGGAAAGACGGATTCTAATACGCTCATGGGAGTTCAGCCCAGGTTATGAATTCTTTAGTGGAAATTCACAGGGGGAATGGAGAATCCTTTTGTGCAGAAGCATTGTTTACACATGTTGGGGAGGAAGTGCTTGAAGAATTCTGAAAATTATGCTTGACATGAATAGATCTACGGTAGAATTAATTTACTGTCTGAAATTCTGAATGTTTCTGAGTGCTGGAAGTCTCGCTAGTATTCGAGTTTTTCCACCTTTCTGTTTGTATTGTTTACAGGGCTGAGCAAGTGATTCTGATTTGTGTGAAATAGTCCCTCACAGCCCTTGGTGGCCTGAAGCACAGCCCCGCAACCTGAGGCCCTGCAGTGGCTCATCCGCTTAGCACACAACGGGGGTGAAAAATGGGGGCCTGTTGTTTTAGAAGGGTCAGTAGTGCAAGAATCTTCCTCTTGTTGCTGCTCTGCAGTGGCGAGATGACTGGTGGCGATGAAGATACACCCACACACACAGGAAACTTGCCTGTGGAGGTGCACAGCCCTGCAGATGCATTGACACCCTCTCTGCACCGTGAAACCGAAATATTTGCTGCAAGGTGAGCTGATTGTCCTAACTCAAAGAAAAGTCATTTTTCTCACACTCTTTCACACAAGAACCACGCGGGTGAGCTGCGCTTGGAGAAATGTGCACCTGGGCAGGGTGGGGGAGGAAGACCATCCCAAGCAATGGGGTCTCTCTGGGTTCCAGTACGGCACCACTCTGCTCTGCCTTGCAGGAAGGAAACACCTGTTCATACCTCCCTTCCTCTTCTGGGTATGAACCAGATCCTGTTGCCATCTGCGCTCTGTAACCTTGGGGTACTCTTTCCAAGGCTGGTATGTTTAAAAACCCCTTGTGGGGCTTCAGAATAACTGAGAGTTCTTCCTCGCCACCACAGTGATCTTGCTTGTTCATTACTGTCGTCGTGGGAGAGTAGCGGTCATGTTGTCGCAGGGGGGCGAAAGTTGCGGACTGTACTCCATGACGATGCTCCATCCCGAGAGACCCGTCAGTGGAGCAGCTGTACAGCAGGCACAGCAGAGCACAAGGCTGCAAGAAAGACGCATGCTTATGGAGAACTTTAGCCAGTAAAGGCCCAAGAAGGGAGTTCGGGATATTCAGCCAGGCCACCCGAGGAAGTATTCTAGCATTTTTTTTAGAGGTGCAGTGGGATTTTCACGACAGTACGTTGATGGACCTTAAAGCATAGCTTCCCATCTTGAAGACAAATTCCATGCAGATAGTAAAGTATTGAACTTGACAACAACACCAGCAGGACGGCTCCCCCTGTCAGTGTACTGCTAGAATACTGTTGCCTGTGCTGGAACAGGGGCCTAAGCATCCCTGTAGACCGAACCTGTACTCTCGTCATATCCCAGTTCCCGAAATTGGGCTCCAGTCCCTAGGACACTGGAAAGGCTGGAGAATGACCTCCCAGCCCATGTGAGGTCATTCAAATCCTGATATAACCTTCACTTTCGTACTCGAGCTTTGAACTGGGCTAACTGCATTGAGGTATTCCTCACTCTGCATTATTGTAAAGCGTCTCGAGATACTGTAGTTTATGAAAGGCGCTGTATAAAATAGATTGCTACTACTTGGGAATTTGTGATCTGGAGGGAAATAGGACTTGTCTGCTCAGCTAGTCCATCAGCATCACCTCCAGCGGTCCTCGTGTCCCACAGATGTGACTCGTAACTCGTCTCGGTACAGAGCAGGCCCGTGCTGTTCTGCTCTGGCCCGAGCGGCTCTGGGTCCGGAGAAGGTCGGCCCAGCTGGTGGTACAGCTAGTGGACCTCCTTGTTAAACATGATGTTCCTGGCGCCCACGGACATCGCTGTTGTACGGTTTGTTTTAACTTCATCTCTCTGAAATGTAAATGCTCTCCAAGTGAACTTCCTCATTTAAACAGATTCGAAGGGCACTTGAATGATTCATGGGTTTGGAAGTTATAAACATCACGATGACTGATCGTTAATTTAAATAATTCATCCTTTTTATTGCTGGGTACTATCCAGTCTTTTATAAAATACTCGCAGTGACGTCCAGAGCTGATTAAAGTGTACAGTGTTATTGTTTAATGCTTCTGCACACACAAAAAATTGCCACATTCAATTTATTTAACAAGGCCAGCGTTAATTCCCCTTCTGTAACGTATTGTAGTGCGATATATATATTGTTTTCACTGTAGTCAAAAGTTTATCTTCTCAATTTCCGAATTCCCTTTCCTGGCAACGGACTTTACCCTTTTAAAGAATTGATTTTGGGGAGGAAAAAAACACGTCTTTTTTTTTTTCGGCTGTTTCTGCACTTCGTTGGGAAAGTCGTTGTTTCTGGTATTTGTTTAGGTAGACGGCCAACCACCGCAACAGCTCGTAAATTCCTGGTTGAGATCATTGTTGATACGAACGTAGTGGTTTTTGGATCATATCCTGTCTCGGGCAGCAAGCTTTTTTTTTTTTCGTTTTAAACTGTAAGCGCTCGCAATCTCCCTCTGGCTTCCAGAGCGAGCGGCTGGACCCGAGTTTACGCCCGAGACCAGAGGAGAAGGACGCACACCTTTTTCCCCCGACACAGGGTAAGCCCGGAATGTGCATTTTTAAAAATATCTGAAATCACCAGATATACATTTGCTGCTTTCTGTACTCATTTTCTTACATTTGTATTCGGTATTGCGAGGCGCGATTGCTCACCTTTCTGGCTGTTCAGGTCCAGCCCGTGGTTTGTGCACTGCAAGGTATACTTCATTTAAAAAAAACATGGCTCGCATTATTATATAGCCTTTTAAATCCCACCAAACAGCAACACGGCAAGTTAGGAATCCGTGCGCTTTCTTGAAGTACCACGGTCTGGTAATGTTCAAAGTACAGTTTGAGACAATGTTTTACAAACATTCATCGTAATATAAGAACCGGATGAACGCTGGTAAACATATAAAGCGAATATTGATTTAAAAAAATGATTTAAAGAAAACACTGTGTAGAGCGTATACATTGTCGGTACGTGCACATAGTACAGAATTTCCACAGATGTGGCGCATGTTGCGATTTCTCCTAAACTCTTCACCAGTTTGAATATCACGCAGAAAGGACATTGTTGTGTTCAGGATTCCGGGTCCACGAAGATGCGCCTGAAAAAATGGCAAAGCACTGACTCCTTCATAAAAAAAAGGAGAATAATCCAGCAGAATAAGCCATCACTGGATTCAGATCAACACATTTTAAAAACTGTAGTGATTGAGATTTCTGCCTGCAATGCTGAAAGAAATGACACAGTCGCTGGTTAAGCACGTTTAGTTCATACACGGGAAAGCCGAGATGCCGCCGTTTTTTTTTTCTTAAGAGAATAAACTGGAGACGGGGAGCCCTGTAATTAAGTTTCTCCGTTTTCACTTCTTTTATGTAGGAAAAACATTTGCACATAGTCATTTGTTGTTTCGTTATTTTTACCCGCCCTTCGCTTGATCGCAGATATTTTAATGACTATATAAAGAGTGTTTATGCCCAGTTGTGTTTCTTTCATCTAGTGTGTGTGTATATATATAATTAAAGTAGGTAGCATGCATAGGCTGCAAAGGAACAAGTAAAGGCTTATTCCCTGCTGAAAAGAGAAGACAAACTCAACGTTTCGGCTGTGGAGCCTTCTTCGGGTCGATATATATATATATTGAATTATTATATACTTCGGGTCACATAGTACACTTCATGTAATACATAACAAGCCCACCCCACTCTCCCCATTAAAATACGGGCCGTCGAAAACAACCAAAACTAATAACTGAGCTTGGCATGACAGGTTAAACACGCACTAACGTTAACATGCTCTGTATTTCACTATCAGTTCCTCATTTTCGGTAACTTTCGTTACCGTTGTCTGAGTGTAGATAGTATACATTTCAGCCTCCTAGTTCATGCGGAAGATGCGAAACTGTAACCCTTTTCTCCTTGTGTCTCTCTCCCCGTCACACATCGCGAACTGCGCGTTCCCGAAGCGGGTATCCAGCGGCTCTAGGTGGGGCAGTGATGGCCCGGGTGTCTGCAGTACCCGCGCTCCACCGCCAGGGGGCGGGGCACTGGTCCCGCAGAGAGACGGGCGTGTCGCACGGAGAACACGGGCGACATTTTTTTGCAGCTGGACATAGATGCGGGGATTTTTAATGGGGCAAAGACAGCTATTTGCACGTATTAGCAACAGGTCGAATTGCGATCTTGTTTCTATTATTCTTAGCTTGATGCTGTTACACAGTATATACGTATATGTATATATGATACAGTATGCTTCTAGCTGTTTTTAAAAAATCAGAAACTGTGCCGTTTTCTTTTAAACTCGTCCATCCCACCACGGAGAAGAAGCAGAACTGGGAGAGGTGCTGATGACTGGCCTGCATTCCCACAGAGGGCTGGTAAGAGCCCAGCACAGCCCACTAGGGCACTGGGACCACACCTCGTAGCCACCCAGGCTCTGAGCCCCGCCGTGGGAGAGGACACGGAGCACCTTCACGAGTGTTTGGAAAAACAGCTTGTGCAATTCCTTCCAGAGCACAGAGCTGTAAAACAACTGAGCAGCAAAATAAAAATTATTTTGTGCTTTGTAGTGCAAAAACACTAGTGTTGGTAATGGAATTTCTAACGAGCCCCACTCTGGTAAATATTTCCTGCTCTCCAGGTCCTAACAGTTGCAGGCAGGCAGTGCTAGACAGAGTGTACTGCGTTCCCACCCAAACTCGCAGGACAGTTTTACAGCCTCACACTTCCATTGTGTGGGTTGCCAAATGCATGATGTCATTCTTCCTTAGCAACCCCACAACAGCACCTGAAGAGGCCCACCGAGCTCGGCTCTCCTGCAGTGCACAGATGCAGCCCTGTGCTGCGCTGATGGACATCGGCTTGTGTTTCGGACCTCCATGCTTTGAGCAGTCGGTCTCCTTCCAGCTCAGCACTGCTTGTGGCCCCTGATCAGCCTGGAGTCAAGCCCTCTCCCAGTGCCAGGGCTTTATGCCCAGAAAGAAGGAGGAAGTCGACTGGATCTCTGGATGCCTGGTGCATGTTTTCTCACCTGGGTTCTCTTGATCTGTAAGGCTTTTGTGAAGAGTTTTTGACTGGGTCGGCCCATCAAGCCCGTTTGGGAGGTAGAAGTAGCTAATTGGTATCAGGATTTCTCCCAGGTATTCCTTGGAAGAAAACAGCATGGCTGGGTAAATTGCTCTCTACTCCCTTAACCTTTAGAGTGAAAGAGTGCCCCCCGATCTCAGTTTTAATTGCCCTTCCCCTTGTGTGCTCTGGCTATGCTTAACCTTCATTCTGGAGAGACCCACGAGGCTGACTTGCTGATGCCTTTAAGGACTTTGAACACGCGAATCAGGTCTCACTCCTCGTTGTCTTCTCGGGTCAAGAGTAAAAAGTCCAGGTGCTCCAGCCTGCCAGCGTGGGACATTCCCTGAAGCCCCAGAATGCATCTTGTTGCTCTTTTCCACACTGGTTGCTGAGCAGCAATATCTTTTCTACAACCCAGTGACTGAAATGGCACATCATGTTCTAAATGGTCCCTGATTTCCGGAGCCAGCGGTTGGCTGAGTCCAGGCCGGCGATGCTGGAGCCCAAAGCCTGATCTCCGTCACGCTAGGGGTTAAAGTCAGAGCAAATAAAACCCAGTGTTTTTTCCTCATGAGCTCATAGCTCAATAAAGCCAAATTAGGTAGCGTGGTGAAGCAGGCAGGCGGAACGGCACTGGTGCTTACTCAACGCGCAGAACTGGGCAGATCCCCATGGTCAGGGGGACGGTCCTGCACTCACACACGATTATTAATCACTTTACAGGACAAGACGTTGTCTGACCCCTTGCAAACTCAGAAAAACCGATGGGTTTGCTCGGTGTCTTTGGCAGTTAAAAAGCAAAAAAGAAAAACACCAAAGGTCACGTTATCTTCTCTAGCACATCCTCCGAGTCCTAGTATAATTCTTTAATAAAATAGTACCGCGGCCGCTAATCTCAGAAATGTGGGAACTTGGATTGTTTTGTTTGTTCAGCCTTTGGCGTCCATTAAGAAAGGCGATCACCAAGCAAAGGGGAGCGCTATCTGTGTTGCCATAAGAACATTTTACTTATTTGCTGCTATGGATCTTATCTTGGTAGTTCCTTTCCAAAGGTGACTCATGCTCTGTGGAAAAATACAGATTAGCAAGGCCCGCTTAACTGTATTACCTTTGCTTGGGCCCTTTGACCTGACAAAGGGAGACAGAGATAGGAAATCAGCAAACCTCTGCTTGTGATTTATGACCGCTCTCGACTTGACACCCCCGAGTAAAAGGGAAAGGGCTGTCTAGTTATTCTAGGAGGGCTCAGCAGAGCTCTCCAGGGGGGCAGTGATATTTCATGCATGTTAAGGACAGCAGGAAGGCCCAGAAATGTATACAAAAACACCTGTTAAAACGTTTCTAACCGGATACAGACTTTTGGCTTAAAACAACTGTCCAGCTCAGTTACTCCTCAGAGGCCAAAGATGCCTCAGTTCACCGTCCGGAAGTTTGCTAAGGAAGCACTGAACAACAGAGTTTTCTGTCAGATGTTTAATACAAGAGCACCGCTGGAAAAGCGCGTTGAAGAGGGATGGTTTACTGGGAATCAGACTATATCAGTAAATAAAAATAAACCTTAAGCCGCGCATAACCCTGTGCTTGATAGAAACTGGCAGTGGTTTGCAGGTTAGAGAGGGGAGCATGCACAGGGATCTAGCGTGTGAAATTGACGTGAGGCATTGATCAGCGTTCTTGGTGGAAGCAGGGGGGGGTGGGGGGCACTCGGCGCTTCGGGGCGAAGCCGAGGTCATCGGGGAGGGCGGGCGCAGAGGAAACAGGGAGCCCCGTTTTATAATTGGCAGGACTCCTGGCACATTTGAGTAATTCCTCACTGTTGGAAGTCCTGGGCGTCTGCATGCAGCCGCAGGGACGGACAGGAGTGTGCCAGCCCGAACGTCTCTGGGCAGTCTGTCGCCCTCTTGCTTGGTGTTCATGTCATGAGCAGGGGCCAGAGAGAGGTGGGCGTGAGGGGGGTGGGGGTGGGCAGATGTGTCCATGGACAGACAAGTACAAGACAAGGCCCCCGGTCATGGAAAACTGGCACCGTCCTTTCCTTGGTATTTTCAGAGTTCCGGTCTGGATTCGGGCCCCTCTGGGCTGCACCAAGCCGTAAACAGAACAGCAGGCAATGAAGATACGAGCCGACTCGGGCCCCAGTGTGGATCCGCTGGCTGGGTGCTTGTATGAAACCTCTTACTGCTGCACTGGCTCAGTCCGACATGGTTTCAGCCTTGTTGCGAACAAACAAGTGAGCAAACCCCAGGGGAAATGGGTCTAATTATCCAACCCTTTTTTTTTTTAATTCGGAGAGCAAACCGGGAACAGATGGACGAACCATACAGGAAGACCGTGTCAGTAGAGGAGCAATGCTCGGCATCAAAATAATTGCATGTTGATTTAATTTCCTCCCCATCATAGATTAGCGGGCTGGGCTGACTCCCTTTCTGCGTGGTCGAGCTGTTTCTTTGGAACGGCAGCACGAAGGGAAACCAATCTTGTAAGC